ATGCTTATTTCTCCTCTCCATGCAGAGACACTCCACCTGAGAATTTAGTGTCTTACATTTCCAATCATCCAAGTTGGCCAGTTATCTTGTTCAAGTACTTTGTACTTGTAAGCCACTTTTGCTCAGTAAGTCTGGGTTTATATGAATTGTTTGCTTGTGTGTCTCTTTTTTAATTTCTAATAAGTCATCATGTCTGCAGTTAGAAATGTTAGTATGTTGATAAGGAATGGCATACCAAAATATAGTATTATCAATGTCTTATGAATTATCTATAAGGAAAAAGTAAATGACTTTGTAACCAATACTAAAGCCATTAATTAATGTTTGAAACCATCAGAAAGTGGGACCAAAAACTGAAGTCATTAGTTTAATTTGAGAGATGCCACATACTATTAACCACTGTAGATGACAGAGGCCTGTTTGGGAAGAAACTGTTGTGGCTCATTCATGATTAATAAAAGGAATCCAAGAAAAACTGGTTTAATTTTTGACTTCATGTTTCAGGAAAAATACAAAATATTAACTACATTACTATTCCATCAAAAATAGTCTTGTTGTCTTTCACAATAAACAGGCATTTTACATGTTAATATTAAATCAATATTGAAGTTATCAAGTTGATTTCACAATATTTTACTTTCTATGTGAACAGCCACAGAGGTTTTTGGGTCTTTTGAATGACCAATCAAGTTTCTCTTCCATCCATGTCTGTGCAAACATGAACACTTCACACACATCTTCTCCCCGGCAGCACAAGAGTTCTATACAGTCAGCACAGTTTCAAGATTAGTGTCACCAATTCAGTATGTGACGAAATGTCTCTCCTTCAGTTCCTAAGATACTGCGTTGAGTAATGGCCCACAGTGTTTTATGCTGAATTTCATGATGCCAGGGTGAAGTTGACCTTTGACCTTCAGCATATAAAAAAATGCCATTACTTCATCATTATATCCACTTAGACATTTGTGTGAGGTTTTGTCATAATTAGTGAAGAAATTATTGAGTTATATCCAAAAACATGTTTTGTGAGGTAATACTGATTACTTTGACCTTGCACCACCAAATTCTAATCAGCTTATTTGTCAATCCAAGCGGACATCTATGTATCGCATTTAAACAATAACAAACGTATTTATACTGCAGTATTTCTATGACATGTAAACCTTTTGTCTCTGTAGACAGAAATACACTGACTCGTGTTCATCGTCTGAACTTGAAGAAATCTATTCACATCTCCTGTGGAAAGGACCACACTGCTGTTTTGACAAAGGTTTGATTACTGATTTGTACTCTTTCCTCAGCCGGTCCTTTGTAACTTATCAGAATTTTAGGTATCACATTAATTGTTACTGGAAAGTTTTAAAATATTCTGATGTTGTAACCAATAACCACACACATTTTATTGCAGGAAAAAGACTCTTTCTCTATGAATTTACTCACCAAGTAACACCTGTATACAAATGGAATGATGCAATAGGTTTTAAATGATTCATCAGTTTATTCAATGGCCATTTTTGAAGGCCCCTGTGGTGAAAATATTAGTGTGGAATGTTAAATACTTCCATCTTTAAAACATTGATGTAAGTCAACTATAGGAAACACTTTCAGCTGAAATGTGGTGTTAGCTCGTAGGCTAAAAGCAAACATTCCAGTGGCTAATGTTAGCTTGTGAGTAGTCCTGACAGCGGTTAGCTAGCTAGCTAGCTGTAGCATATAGCATATTTAAGCAAGCAATGAAGATAAGAGCGATGAGACTTAACTGAAACTATAAAGTTACAGGATGTAAAGCCAAAACCAAATTAAAAAAAATAAGTAAAAATAAACCTAAGTGGGACTTTAACTGTGGTGATGCTGTTGCTTCCTCAGACTGGTGCAGTGTTTACATTTGGCTCCGGTCAGTATGGACATCTTGGGCACAACTCATTCAACGATGAACTATGACCTCGACTTGTTGCAGAGCTCTGGGGGGCAAAGGTCACCAGGATTGCTTGTGGACGGTACGGTGTATTATCTTTCACAATGCAATAGTTAAAGAGGCCTGGAAGCTGCTCCAATAAAACCTATATTTATGAAAGTTGTCAATCAAAAGGCATTCATGTCTCTGATGACATTAAAATGTTGTTTGTAATATATGGACTCCTTTGGGTGTGGAGAGCAGGGGCAGCTGGGACATGGAGAGGAGAGTTATCCATCTGTGCCGCTACCTGTTCAACTGCCACAGGGTAACTAGATAAGTGAAATAAATCATGTGAATGCGCTGAATGGTTTCACAAAAAAACTTACACTTTATCCATTATTATTCCAGACACCACTGATGATGCTATAATTAGAAATCGCATTGTCTCAACAACATGATTGACAAATGGACCTCTGAATGTGACTTCAGAAAGTCATGGAAAAAGATAAAACAGTAAGTGTATTGCATCTGCAGTTTTCAGTATGTTAAATAGCCTGATGTTTTATGACTCTCATTCATTTTTTTTTCATCTGGATCAAAAGCTGTTAACCCTGTTTTCTCAGTGCAGTGGACTAAAACTGTTGAATATTTGCAGGCAAATTCACAAAATGTTTTCCTCTGCATCCTGTGTAAATACAAGCTCTCTTGAGCATTACTTTTATGCGTTACACCCAACACTGGTTATATGTTACAACTGGCTGTTGGTGTGTTGCAGATGTTGTGACCTTGAATTCAATTAATTTAAAAGTGAGGGCTCGTCCGGGATTTGAACCCGGGACCTCTCGCACCCTAAGCGAGAATCATACCCCTAGACCAACGAGCCATGCTATCTATGGGAAAAAGGAGGTTTACATTTCCAGCCCTGTCATTTCCAGACGTGCAGTTAAACTCCATACTGCTGATGTGGCAGCTTGAAGACCCATTCTAATCTGGCCAAACAGCGCCCTCTGCTGTACAACCTTTTAAATCCCACTCAGCAGCTGTCCTCTGAGCTGGGGAGCTGTGCCTCATCTCATCTGTGACGATATTTTGGGTATCTGACATTATCTGCTCCATGTATCACGTTACCTGTGAGCCAGCCTCACCCATACAGACCTGAGTTTGAAAGCAGTGGCTCAGTGCTTAGCACTGTCGCCTAACACCTATAGAGGGTTGTGGGTGTGTACCAGCTGTCTGACTGGGGCCCCTCTATGTGGAGTTTGCATGTTCTCCCCATGTCAAGTGTGGGTTTTCTCTGGGTTCTCTGGCGTCCTCCCACAGCCCAAAGACATGCATGTTTGGTTAATTGGTAACTGACTTGTCCAGGGTGTATCCTGCCTCCTGTCCAATATCAGTTGGGACAGGCTCCAGCCCACCTGCGACCCAGATAACGGCTGGAATGGGAGTGTGATAAGACTGCTTGCAATGACCTTTTTGTTCATCCAGCTGTCTGTTTCCATTATTTTCAGCTTTTTAAAATGTTGTTTGGGGGCACCCAGGTGCTCACCTGGTAGAACTGGCCCCCCATGCACCCAGGATATATCTTTACTGCAGCAGCCTGGGTTCAATTCCAACCTGTGGCGCCCAGCTACATGCCATCCCCCAACAAGCCCACAATGTCTGCATCTAAGCTAGTGTTTAGTTTTTACCCTGTAATTATCTATTTCACACACACACACCGAGATATAGACAACTATATATACAACCAGTTTGCGTAAGAACCTGTTAAACCTTTGAGGCATCAGGCCCAGAAACAGACATGTTGCCATTTTTAGCTTTGCACACTGTAGACTCCGTATAAATAGTTCATTTCTCTTTTGCTTGCCTGAGAAAGATCTTGTAGATCAAAACTTTGTCTTAAAAAAAACTTTAAAAAGAGAGAGACCTCTTAATTTAAAGTAGGGTTGGCACAGCACCAGATTTTCAGCACACAATTATTGTGGCCAAAAGAGTTTATGATAATGATATTATCGTGATTATCAGTTGAATCATGTTAAGTTTTGATTATCATGCGTTCTGTCTCTTTTTTTTAGCAAATCAACTATTATATCAAATATGAGTGTATGGAGGGGGAGAGAGTCTGTAACCATAACTGTACAAGAGCGTACAAACAGAGCTATTTCATTTAACGGATTGGGAAAAGGCAACCAGAAGGTATTGGGAGAAAGTGACACATCAAAAAAACTGGAAATGATTTAAGAGGAGCTGGATTATTTACACAATACTATATGTGTATTATTAACATGATGTCAATATTTCATTTTTAAATATCACAGTTATCATCAATACCGTTAAATCACGACACCCCTAATTTAGAGAAAAAGCCTTTTAGCCCCTGTGCCTTGTGGTGACGTATTTTCATCTTGCACCTGAGTATTATGACCTGGTTGTACATACACTTGGTCGTTTTGCTTTTTTTTTTAGCTTTGCTTGTCCTTATCTCAGGTTTCATCACAGATAGCTCTCATGAACTGCTTACTGGTCAGGTAATTGTGATGCATGTGATATTATTTGTCTTGTTTTTTTTTTTTTTTTAACACATTGAGGGAAACCAGTGATCTGTTCAGTTGAAAGTTGATATTAGCTGTATGATGACGTGTAGTGGTGGCCTATCAGTATGATTCAGGTACAGTTTACCTTGGCTTGGATCCTGATACTCATATATCCTGGTTAAAAGCGGGCTCGTCCGGGATTTGAACCCGGGACCTCTCGCACCCAAAGCGAGAATCATACCCCTAGACCAACGAGCCCTATGGACTTGATTCTAGCAGCTGTTCAACTGAAACATGACAACATGTGATGTGGCAGACTGGAAGACGAGGGCTCATGTGACTGAACAACACCCCCCAGTGGTCATCATAGGAAGAACACAGACATTTCAAAGACAAACTTAACTATGATACTGACAATTATTAAATTGCAAACCAAAGATTTGCATTGGTACACCCTTTTTTGTAAGGTTTGTTTTTAGTTTTTATGCTAAACTTTTTCAGAAAGCTGTCACAAATCATTGAAATACATATGTCCAGACGCTCATGATGGATTCCTGCGAGTCGGCGCTGGGGTCCAACTTAACCCACGTTCCCTTCAGAGTCCGCATGCTCGAGATAGTTAGCTTCGGGCAAGTTAGCTAGCATCAGTCGTGGGCTTGGAGTCACGTTTACAAGATGGCAACCGAAGCGAAGCGAACCAAGGTTATCATTTAATTACATTAAGCCAAAAAAACAAACAATACTGATAATACTGCTTGAGCTGTTTGTACGTGTGTGTTTGTGTAACGTTATACTCTCGTTACACTATATGTGACTAGCTGCTGCCGCTGCATGCTGTGTTTCAGTCTGTATAACTTTATGTGTGCTGAAGTTGGGGACAATTTACAAAAGCTAACGAGCTCAAGTTTTAAATAAGCTACACGTTCACTACTGTCACTGTAGTTCAGAGTGTAACCAGGTGCACCACAGCACCTCGGTCACACATGCCTGGTCATGTTAAATGTGTAAGTGTGTATCCTGCACCGACAGGTAGATGATGGGTCACAGATGGATCCGCTGCAGAGCTTTCTACAGTGGTGCAACAGAGTGGGCTTGGTACTCAGCAGTAAGGTATGTTACCATGACAGCCAGGTTGTCTGTGATCCAATTTTCCCATTGTTCAGTGAAGTACTCTAAAAGCTGAACTGATCCAAGTCTGCCTGAGCAAAGAGTCCAAACATGTCAGGATGTCTCTCTGTGCAGGTGTGTGTGAGTAAAGAGGGAACAGTGGCAGATTATGGGATGCTGGCTAAGGACGACATAGAGGAGGGGGAGGTTTTATTCACTATCCCCAGATCAGCTCTTCTCCACCAGGAAACAACCAAGGTCTCTGCCCTGCTGGAGAAAGGTGACAAGTTCAGTTTCAAAGCAGTTTTACCAAGTCTGAATCTGCCTGCATCATCTGCATCATCTCACTGTTTCTCTCCTTCTCAGAGAGGTCATGTCTAGAGAGCTCCTCTGGCTGGGTTCCCCTGCTCCTGGCTCTGCTGTACGAATACACATCCCCACAGTCCCACTGGAAACCCTACCTCTCCCTGTGGAGCAACTTTAAGACGCTGGATCACCCGATGTTCTGGTGAGAAGCTCTAAAAGTCTAAAGGCCATCATAGAGATCAAGGGAAAAGCTGTGACATGGCAGCAGTTTCCTTAAATCTTCTGCTAACAGAGTGGATTTGTAGCTTTCTTTACAGTAATTTACAGTTAATCCATCTAGGTCTAAGGAGGAGAGAGACAGACTGCTGAAGGGAACAGGTATCCCAGAGGCTGTGGACACAGACTTGGCGAACATCCAGAGGGAATACACAGACGTGGTCCTTCCCTTCATCACCAAGCATCCTGACCTGTGGAGCCCCAGCACACACACACTGGACCTGTACACACAGCTGGTGGCCTTTGTCATGGCCTACAGGTTAGTGAGCACGAGACAAAGTATGTACACAAAGTATCTGGATCTTCCTTTTTTTATGGTCTCTCTAAATTCACCTCTGTGATGTTTTTTGTCCCTTTTCCACGCCCTTCCTGTAGTTTCCAAGAGCCACAGGAAGAGGAGAATGATGAAGACGATGAGGAGGAGAAGGCCCCAAACCCACCGATGATGGTTCCCATGGCCGACATGCTTAACCATGTGTCCAATCACAATGCTAATCTGGAGTTTACACCGGTGAGGGGAAACATTGACTCTGCTTTGTTTAGTTTGCCAGAACACCTGTTCTCTGTCAAAACATCACTGAGAAAGTGAGGAGGTTTTTTTTTTTTTTAAATATAGAGTATATCTCACGTTGAGACCTAAACTGTAAATTTAACGTACAATAATTAACTTATTAGCATGTTCCAATTTCTTTCTCACTTTTTAATGTCTTAAATGTAATGTTGTCTCTCTACACACCATCTTTCTCAGGACAGTCTGAAGATGGTTTGCGTGCGCCCCATTCAGAAAGGCGAGGAGGTGTTTAACACCTACGGGCAGATGGCCAACTGGCAGCTGCTGCATATGTACGGCTTCACGGAGCCGTATCAAAGCAACAGCAACGACACCGTCGACATCCCCATCAGCAACCTCTACAAAGTCGCCACACAAGGTGACGAGATTGACAGATTGTTTGTGACAAGTGCGGATAAATTACAGTACCATAGGAGAAAAGTGTTAGGGAAACAAGATGATGATGAAACTGCTTTTTATGTGGACCCAAAACCAACCCTGTTGCATTGTGCCTCCTCTTTCCTCATCTCTCCATCTTCTCCTCCCAGGTATTCAGTCTGATCTGGACCTGCAGTTGGTGGAGGAGCAGTGGGAGATGCTGTCTGAGATGATGCAAGAGAAAGCAGCCTTTGTCTTTGGCAAACAGGGCTGCCTTACAGACACAGAGCTACATACTGTGCTCAAGGTGAGGGGGTGCATGCAACAGTGCAGCTGGAATTACATCTGCACAAAACCTGTAAAATCACACAGCGATGAATAATTGAGGAATGGCTGTTACTGGAAACACACCTCTTGCTTGTGTATCTTCAGGTGCTCTGCATGTCAGGGGAGGAGTTCTCAGAGTTCAAAGATAATGAAGGGTGGGAGGAAGATGATGAGGACGACGAGGCTTCCCTCGCTTTTTCTAACGAGGGTCTGCCTGGATTAAAGGCTTCATGGAAATGGCTCATTCATGAAGCAGCCCGTCTGACTTTGAGGTCCTATGGAGACGAGGAGGAACAGGGTGTGAAGAGCGACCAGGCGCTGATGGAGGACAAGGCAGCATTTGAAGGACTGAGCAGCAGGCAGCAGAACGCCCTGCAGGTACTCTGTGGACAGAAGAGCATCCTGCACAGACTGGTGGAGCTCACCAAGTCATGACTTCAGCTGCAGCAGGGAGCAGGAGTTTGTTTTTTATATCAACGGGGAAACTGAAATGTCTCAAAACACACTGTTAATAAATGTTTTTACTTAAGACAGATCTCTGATTTTCAACAGTGCTTTTACACTATCAGTGTTGATGTGCGAGGTGTTTTGCCATTATCTGTACAGAAAACAGGGATCATTATGACACTTGTTAAGTAATTGCTGTGTCTCTTGGATGCCTGCTGGGTACTTTTTGACGCCTGGGCTCTACCTTTTTATAAAGCTGTGACATTACCTGAGTGGTGGGGGGGACACCCATTAATATCTCAAGCACAGAAATTGAAATACAGGCAGAGGGCAAAGTTTTGTAGATAAATGCATTAGCACACACCTCTAGTGAGTCATAAGTGATGATTGAGAGGAATTGCTTTTGTTTGAGTCTATTCATTGTTATTTTTTTAGGAAAATCTTGCATAGCATATCTTAGGACTGTTTCAAAAGTAGGTATACAAATCTGGATGAAAAATATGTAAAACCCTAGAACAGTAATTTGTGTATTTTTCAGTCTAGACCCCATTTTCCTACGTTTTCAAGTACAAGTGACTGACTGCAACAGCAGTTTTTGAAATTTGACCAGTACTGAGCAAGCAGCAGCAAAACAAGCTGCAGTATAATCCCTGAGGCCAGTTGAGCGTCTTCAGTTTGCTTCCACTAACAGTGCTTGTTTTTGTCAGACAGGCTCTGATCATTTAGTCTGTCAAGATTAGAGAAAGGATCCTACTGAAAGACCTTTTTATTAAACCTGAAACAGCCACAAAATCTCTACTGTAAACTGTAATTTGATTAGCGTAAAACACTCTTCATTCAGTGTCTTCACAAGCAAAATAAAAGCCATCTTGGTTTGTCTTTCTCTGTTCCAACAATCACTGTCTCTGGTTTGGTAGAAAAAAAATACTTTATTCACCCAGTCAGTTTAGATGTGAATGCATGCTGGCTCTGTACACACTTCATCCCATGCAAATCCACAATGTCCCTAATTTGCCAAGTAAAACTTACACTGTGAATTACCTACCATATTTCACCAAATAGAGGTCATGTGATATTACACATTCGGTGCAAATCTTCATCTCGATGCTTTGGGGTCGTATTATTTTTATTGTTGAACAGCCGCACATGCATATATCATACACAGTCAGCTTGTCAGAGATTTACTGTGCTGCTAAAAGTCTACCACTGGCAGCTACTGGCAACTTTAAGGTGGAATGTTTGTTTTTTGCATGTGTGTGAATCAATCAACAGACTAAATGTCAATATCCAGACTTTGACCATTGCATTTGTTTTGTCTTTCTTGACAAACTTTAGTGATGATTGGATCTTTAAGCGATTAAAAAAAGTAAATGAATCTCAACTGCATGACTGGTGTGTGAACTGAGTTTTGATTTCCTCACTTGGAAAAAAAAAATGGTGGTGCATTGCTCTAGTTTACCCCATGTGAATGTGCCGCATTGAACACAGACATGAGGGTGTATTTCTTAACTGGACAAGGTTCCATGCCAATAGGGCTTTGGAAGAACGACAGAAAGCATAGTAACACAGGAAAATAGGATCTACGCTGGAAAACACTGAAATTACCCTTCAAGTAGTTCATAAGTAAGTGAT